TTTATTTCTAGTCTGTCTTACAGTTATAGGTTGGGCTATAATTTCATTTTGCGTGAAGACTGATGCAAAGATGGAGTTAAGCGGCTCGCTTTTCTCTCTACTGCCTGTTACTTCCTTGACATTTTCTCTCTTTAGTGGACCAACTGATTCCTTGACTTTTTTCTTGTTATTTATATGTTGAAAGAAACTTTTTTTATTATCTTTGACTTTTGTTTCAAGTCTTTGTTCATTCTGAGCATTTGCTTTCCTGACTTCACCTTTGCAGATTCGAGCTATTTGCTGATATTCTGCCTTAGTTATGTATCCGTCTTTCCATTTTTTTGCACTTATCCTTTTTGTCTTTCACTTTATCAGAAAGATTTTTGTGCAACCATTTCTTCTTGGATTTCTTCTTTTTCAGTGATATTGTGTTGGACTGGGCTTTTATGATCATATTTTTCAGAGTTTCCCATGCTTCTTGAGTTGTTTTCCTCTTTTGGATTTGCATCCATGGTATTTTTCTTAGGCTGTCTCTGAGTTTGTTAAAATCAGCTCTTTTAAAGTTTAAGACTCTAATTCAGGGGTGTCAAGCTGCTGGCCCACGGGCCGGATGCATCATAGAGAAACCGCACCCCACCCCAATGCCGGCAATGGCAAAAAAGTCACAATACATTGCGAAACATCATGCGACGTGAGTTTGACACCCCTGCTTTAGTTGGATTATATTCTATTGCTTGTGTTTGCATTATATTGAATTTAAATATGACATGGTCACTCTCGCCCAAGGTTCTGGCAATTTCAACTCCCTCTACCACTTCTTCTCTATTAGTAAGAATTAGGTCCAGTATAGCTTCTCCTCTAGTTCTCTCCTTTTGAATGACGAAGTTGTCAGCTAAGTTGGTTAGAAATCTGTTCGATCTCCCACTTGCTGCAGATTTTGTCCCCCAGTTCATATCAGGGAAGTTAAAGTTTCCCATTACTACTGTGGTATGTTTCCTACATACGTTTGTTAACTGATTAGTAAAGAGTTCATCTATTTCTTCTGTTTGGTTGGGTGGCCTATAGCAATGTAATTTTTTCCCCTTTTATATTGTCCCATATGGATTTTCATCCTTGGTTTTGTGTATTTCTATAGAAATGTAGTGATCTTTTTTATATAATGCAACAACACCTCCTCTTTTGTTTGATCTGTTTCTTTTGGAACAGTTTGTATCCTTCCATCTTTCCAGTCATGAGTTTCATCCCACCGTTTCAGTAATGGCAACTATGTCATTTGATTTTTTGATTTTGATTTTATTAAATTTCTACCCCGCCCTTCTCCAAACGGACTCAGGGCGGCTTACAGCCATTTAAAACAGTACGTAATACAAAAATGCTAATTTAAAATGTAATTAAAATAGAATATTAATTATTGGCCTTTTCTTATTAAAATTATTTTAAAACCAAAATTAAGATAACCCTTAGGCCAGTCCTGCTAGCTTAAATAGCTAGCCTTTGTGTACTAATGCTTCAAGTTCACCTTTTTTGTTTTCTAAACTTGAGTGTTAGTGTATAGGCATTTCAGTCCTTTATGGGTCTTGGGTATGTTTCTTATATCTCCTACTTTGTAACTGGGATTTACATCCTTTCCATCACTCTCAACTTCATTATGTTTTTCTTTTTTTATTTCTTCTTTCTCTTTACTCTTTACTCCCTACCTTCTTATGTGATTGGTTATCTTTTGACATAAAAGTAGGTTCTAAAAGTCCCCCCCCCTCAATTTTAGTTTAAAGCCCTTGTGAAAGATGAGCCAGTCGTTTTCCAAATATATTCTTTCCAGTTTTTGTGAAGTTTACTCCATCCCTTGCCAGTAGCCCTTCATGTAAGAAATGCAAACTATGGTCTAGGAAGCTGAAGTCCTGTGGACAACGCTAGTTTTAAGCCAGTAATTCATTTCTAAAATACTCTGCTCCCTCATTGGATGTTGGTCTTTTGTTGGAAGCATAGATGAAAACACCACTTCTGCTCCTAATTCTTTAATTTTCTTCCCAAGCTGTTCGTAATCTCTTCTTATTGTTTTCAGATTCATTGTTGTGTCATTGGTCCCCATATGTAGGAGAAGAAAGGGTAGTAATCCATGGGATTGATTATTTTAATAAGGAACTTAGTTACATGATTGATTTTTGCTACATGGAGACAATATACCTCCCTAGATAGGTAGAGATACAGCATGGGTTCCCAACCAAGGGTGCTTGCACCCTCTGGGAGTGCAAGACAATATTCCAGGGGGTGCGAAAACCTGGTTTTAGAAGTTTCAAAATTATGCTGTACATGCACAATTCATTATTTCAAACATTTGTAAGGGGTGCAAGAATATATCAGAAGCATTCTGGGGTGCGGGGTATAGAAAAGGTTGGGAACCACTGAGATAGAGAGTAATATAGATATAGAGAGTAATATAAATAGAATAATTACTCTCTCTCTCTCTCCATATACAGGTGAAACTCGAAAAATTAGAATATCGTGCAAAAGTTCATTTATTTCAGTAATGCAACTTAAAAGGTGAACCTAATATATGAGATAGACTCATTACATGCAAAGCAAGATAGTTCAAGCCGTGATGTGTCATAACTGTGATGATTATGGCTTACAGCTCATGAAAACCCCAAATCCACAATCTCAGAAAAT